AGGGGGGCCCCGGGGCTGGGGTCAGGGTGAGCTGAGAAGGGGGCGCCCCGGGGTGGGGTGGACGCTCAAGAGGGGTCATGGGTTGGCCCGGGTTGACCTTTGGGAGCGATTATGGGGGCAGTTGGGTTGGGTTGACCCCAGAGAGGGGTCATGGGTCGAGGTGACCCTAAAGACAGGTCCACGGGTCGGGGTCAACCCTAAAGAGGGGCCGTGGGTCGGGTTTGGAGGCCCCGAGGGAAGGATTTGGGGGACAGTTGGGTGGGGTTGACCTCAGACAGGGGTTATGGGTCACGTTGACCCTAGAGAGGGGTCATGGGTCAGCCTGGTTTGACTGTAGGGAGCGGTCAGGGGGCGGGTTGACCCTAGAGAGGGGTCAGGGGTCGGGCTGACCCTAGAGAGGGGTCACTGGGTCAGGTTAACCCTCGAGAGGGGCCGGGGGCCAGGTTAGGAAGACCCTAGGGAAGGACCATGGGGGCACTGGGGTTGGGTTGGCCCCGGCGAGGGGCCCTGGGCTGGGCTGGGGCAGCCCGGCCCTCGAGGGGGGCTCACGGGCAGGCCCCCCCGGGGGGTCACGGGTCAGGCTGACCCTAGGAGAGGCTGATGGGTAGGGCTGGGCTGACCCGCCCGGGGCGGGGGGGGGGAGGGCCTCCCCCGCTGCTCTCTGGTCCCGGGGGGGGTCACCGGGGGCTTCCATGGTGGGCAGGGGTGACTCTAGCCCATTCCCACCGCGCATCTGAGGCGACGTCATTACCCGCCCGACTAACCTGCTAACCACCCATCTAAACAGCTAACCACCACCCATCCAGCCAGCTAACCAACCAGTTAACCAACCACCCGACCAGGTAACCACCGCCCATCCACCCCGATAACCCATCCCAACAGTTAACTGCCCACCCCACCAGCTGACCAAACGCTCATCCACCCAGCTAACCACCCACCCACCTACCCATATACCCATCCAAACGGCTAACCAATCACCCAATCACCTAACCATCCACCCAACCAGCTAACCAGCCACCCATCCAACCAGCTAACCAATCACTCAAACAGCTAACCGCTCATCCAACTAGCTAACCAGTTGCTCAACCAGCTAACCAACCGCCCAGCCAGCTACCCGCCACCCATCCAACCAGCTAACCACCCACCCATCCACCCAAAGAACTAACCAACCACCCATCCAAACAGCTAAGCAACCAACCAGCTAACTACTGCCCACCCAGTCAGCTAACCAACCGGCCAAGCACCCAACTAACCAGCTAACTACCCACCTGACCAGCTAACAGCCCATCTGACCACCCATCTAACTGCCAGCCATCCAACCAGCTAACCAACCGACCACCTAACTAACCTGATAACTGCCAGCCAGCTAACCAACCCATCGCCCAGCTAACCAACCAGCCCATTGCGCAGCTAACCAGCTAACCAACTGATCCATCGCCCAGCTAACCGACCAGCCGATCACCCAGCCAACCGCCCATCTGGCTTACCGCCCACCCAACTAACCAGCCGCCCCCCCAACCAGCTAACTACCCACCCACCCAACCGGCCTGTCACCCACCCGACCAACCCACCAACTGCCCGACAGCTCAGCCTCCTGCCCAATCACCCGCTGACCCAACTGGCCAATCAGCCACTTGCCCAACTGCCCAACCAACCAGCCAACTGCTCCTCCAAGCACCTGACCAACCACGACTTAGTCACCGCCCACCCGCTGGCCTGACTCAGCAACCAGTCACCCACCCAACCACCCCACTGGTGACCCAACCACCCCGTCACCCACCCAATGACCCCACTGATGACCCAACCACCCCGTCAACCGCCCAACTACCCCATTGACAACCCAACCACCCCGTCACCCGCCCAACCACCCCGTCAACC